AAAAAAAAAAAAAAAAAAAAAATCACAAAAAAAGTCACAGCGCTAAGAAACGGAGTGTTTCTTCTCCCACAAATTGTGCCAAAACCCTGCAACAAAGTGTCCTTTAAGGAGCAGCTTGCTTCCTCAGGGTACTTGTAATTCCAGGGGGATCACAGGAGAAAAAGCCGGGGCTTTCAAAGCTGCTGGGTCGGCTAAGCCACCATGTTCCCATGGGAACACAGTGCCTCGGAAGTACGGGAAGCACCGCACGGTTTCCAGGAGGTGAAGAAGGCCGAGACTAGGAAGGACAATGGGAAACAGCAACAGGTTTTGAGACAGCTCTGCTGGAGATCACCTCCTGGTGCCGTAGTTCTGCCTCTCCAGGGGAACGCAAGGAGAAGCAGAATTGTGGGGAGCCCCCCAAAGGTCAGCGCTTCCTCCAAATTTATGGTAATAATACCTAAATCTCAGAGAGCCACTTCGGGGCACTCCTGGGCGTTCCTTTTACCAYTTTTTCTGTAGGTTGCTCACCTGGACAACACCCAGCAGCATCGCGGAGAAGAGGAAAGGCACTATGGATGCTCCGAAGTACCAGATGTTGAGCCAAGCTGCCACGTCCAGCAGCAGGATGTGACAGAGGTACAGCATGAAAAACATCTGGTTGGGGTTGAGAAGCCCCATCTTCTCAACCGTCGCGCGCAGCTCKCGGAAGTCTTCGACCAGCCTTTTCTGTGGGGAGACACAAACCTGTGTATTTACTGGTCTAATAATAATAAATAATGATAAATAAAATAAATAATGATAAATAATAATATGGGAAGCTCAGTTTCCCCTCTGAAGGAGCTACAGYGGCAAGAGGGGAAAGCCAAGGGTCGTTTAGAGGCAAATCCGCAACATTATGGTCCCCAAGGAGGCAAATAACCTTGTGACATCAAAGATTTTCTTTAGCTGGCTGCATTTACCCTCTTGACTTCCACCCACAGGTGACAGGTACTGCTTTTGGAAAGAGAAATTGTGGCCAGTTTTATTTAGGCTCATCTGTGATGCCCTAGTCCCACTCTAAACGGGGAAAGCTGCAAAAAAAGAAGTGACCGAGGAACGCTAAAAACCCCAAACTAGTGACAATGTGAAGACAAGGAAAAGCTCCAGACTGACAAGGTGATTCCATGGCATCCTTCACGTTACTGATAGGAAATTCTGGCTGCCACCAGGGGGAGAAAGTAGCCTGGTTCCAACCAAAGCACCACCAAGTTTCTCAAGGCGCTTACGTTCTTGCTGGGCTCAAAGCTGGGCTCATCCGGCGCCAGCTCCCCGATCAGGAGTGGCCGCATGTACTTGCTCACCAGGGCCTTGTCCAGATGAAAGGCTACGAAAGGATCCTGAAATACAGACATGGGGTCAGCGGGAGAACCACACTCCAAGTGGGTAAAGGAAAGAGATTTCATGATATCCCGGTCTCGGCAGGAAGGAATCCAACCAGCGGAGCTGGAGAGATCCAACCTTTTCTTCTGTTTTCTTTGGCCGAGGATCTTACCACCTTCTTCATAACATGAAAGATTATCCGAAGATGACGTCAGCAGCCGCGATTGCTATCGTTATGTTTAGATCCTATCTCTCCACTCAAGTCCAGCCTCCTCGAGCACCCAGGGCAATTTCGTGCCTAATTCCCACCGACTTCCCGTTTATCTCCTGCTAGCTCTGGACCTTAGCGTATCCTTTACCATCTCCCTCAGCTTGAGGGCGCTTTTCCTTCCGTTTTCCTGACCGGGGAGCTGCTGCTACAGCAGGTTCAACTCTGCAAACCCTGGCTCATCCCTACAAGTGTTTCTAATGAACTATCCCTTCAAAAGAGTTCTGAAACGGGTTAAAAAGGGGGAAAAAAAAAAAGAAAACACGTGTTTCCAGCTGGCTGTGGCTCATTTGCCTTCATCGTTCTGCAGACTGAGCACTAGGGAAGGGAAGGGAAGGGAAGGGAAGGGAAGGGAAGGGAAGGGAAGGGAAGGGAAGGGAAGGGCGCGGGGGGAGCTCGTGGGGACGCGGGAGGCGCCCGTGGGCCGTGTCCGGGGATGGCTCCACGGCGCCTGCACCAATCGCGGCGCCGGTGGCCGCGGGGCCGGGCGGGGGCCGCGGGAGGCTGCGGAGGCCCCGCGGCGCCTCCCGGGAAGCGGCGGCTCCGGTGGCGCTCGGAGGACGAGGCTCCTTCCTCGCTCTCCATCGTTCCGCCTGTGGGTTTTTTGTTGGTTTTTTTTTTTTTTTTTTTTTTTTTTTTCTTTCCCGTTTCCCATGGCCCAATGTAAGCAAAAGGCTGGAACGGCCTCGCCCGGGTCCAACCCGGCCCCGCGCGGGGAAGGGCCCTGTGGCAGCGCCCGGGCGGGCGGGCGCATCCCCGGGGACGGAGGCGGGATGCAGAGCTCCCGGATCCCCGCGCCGGCCGCCCCGGCGGTGCCGTTGGCCGCTCCGCGCGCACCAGCGGCCCCGGGCTCCCCGTGGGACGGCGCTCGGGACCCGCCGAGGCGCACGGGCTTTCCCCCCGGGACCAAAGGGATGCCCGGGCTGCGGGCTGCCCCCTCGTCCCGCCGCGGCACGGAGCGGGAGCCACGTCGAGCGAGCACCGCGCCCGCACCCCCCGCGGCGGCAGGGGCGGGCACCCCACGGGCGGCCCACGGGGGCTCCCCACGCGCCGCGCCGCCCCTCACCGTGGCGTCCTGCCCCGCGTAGTGGCTGATGACGCGGGCGCCGCCCGGGTGCCGCCGGTAGAAGCGGCTCACGTCGTAGACCTTCCTGTCGATGACGAGCCAGCGCTCCGGCTGCTCGGGCTCGTGCCGTGGGCCGCGGCCCGTGCGCA